TCAAAGCCGGTGATGTGGACCTGAAGAACCTGCAGCACTGAAGGTCTCTCGTTTCTCTCCTTTTGATACCATGTGCATTTTACGACTATCTGCTGGTGCTCTGACAGCGGTATTGCCTCATTAAAGATTTTTTATGTAAGAGATGAAGTTGTTGTCACCTATGCACCTAGTATCTCAATGTTCAATTGAGAGCTCCTAACAAGCGGTCGTTGTACACGCGGCTTTTTTATACACCGAATTCCTGCATTCTAGGCCAATAAAACAGACGTTCACGGCACAAGAAAGCACATGTAAAGCAATTGGTGGTTTGCGTTCGTGAATGGAGAGTATTTGGTCGCACTAGAAAACCAATTTTGGAAGCGATGCCTTCCCAGGGCTTGTGTGAAGACCAAGGTGGGCGTGTAAGTTGGATCGTTTCTTTGGAAAGGGGAACGGAAAGTTGAATCTGCCGGTGGACGTTCTTGGCGAAGGGTCCAGAGTGATCGGCTTCTCGTAGTTGGCGATTTACCTCAAACCACTTGTTTCACGACCATAAGAGTGCTTCGATTGGTGTGAGCGGCTTTGTAGCATGTGCTAATCTGTATTTGCGGAGTTGTCTTCACAACTGACTACACAGCAAAAAGCCAGTTGCATGACTATCACGTTCTGTGCTACATTAGTTCTTTGGACGCGATTAAGTGGAGCAATGTGAAGCGCGGGGAGATGATGTTAGGACGCTGGGCATTGTAGCAATCACACAAACATTCCTTCTTCTGCGTTGTTCAGACGATGTGTGATTAAACTGGGGCTCTGAAGCCATGTTCCTTCATTTAGGCATTAGACACGGCAGTTGATTCTTTGTGCTTACTGCATACAAAACCGCCAGAGCGTAGAAGGCAATAAAATGAAGGCCAACACACGAAACGTCGAGCTGCATTAAGACAAAATAACGGCGACAGCAGTTTATTCAGGGCGAGGGAATAGCATTCATAGACTGGTAGAGCACATTCAGTACGAGGTAAAACAAAAAACCCAACATTACCTATTCTACACAAATCAACTCGCTTGCAGGTTGTCGTTCTCTTGGATTTGCACGCGACCTCGAACACTAAATAAGATTAGTGCAATAAAGAGACAACCCCGTTGCACTGACCCGCACACAGCTTACACCCACAATAACTACATTTCGCAAGAAACCCAAATCATACCGCCAACTCACTGCTTTGGAAAAGGCTATGATAGCTGGAGATGAGTTCGACGGAAGCGTCGATTGCTGTTTTAATACGAGTTGGTGAATGGGTGGATGGACAAAATACTGCGAGTGTGCGTCTCATCGCTCACCAATCTCTGGATCAACCCCTATCAAGACCAAATTTAACCAGTTTCTCTATGGGTCGAGTAAATGGGATTTGCGTTGGGTTTACACTGAGACTGACGCGAAAATGAGAAGCAGCGACTTCAAAAAAGAACTCCAATATTTTTTTACTTATTAGTAATATCTGGAAAAATATATAAATGCATACATGAGTACCATGTCACAAGATCTGGTGGTCGGTTTGAGTTGGGTTTTCTGAAAAGAAAAACCAAAAATAGCATGATTATTTCAACAAAATCACACACTACCCACGGACTTGGAAGCAACTGACTCACGCGAGGATTTGTCGACTACCTCAGCGAGTTTATCAAGCTCGTCGAAGGTGAACTCAAGACTGGCGGGGTTGTTAATCAGCGCGCGGATCCGACGGAGCCGTTCAAAGTCGATTCTCGGCCTACCTGGTTCACCGCCAGTGATCGCTTCGGGCTGTTTTTGCTTGCCACTCTCAGACGGTTCCGACGACTTATTATTCTCCACAGATTCGGTACCAACTGACGACTCGGCCCGTTGCACACCTTCAGAGGCAAATATTTAGTATTGTTTGAGTTAGAAGTACTTAAAAGTTAGAAAAAAAACACTAAACAGGGCGTTTACAGAGAGGGGAGGTTGGCGGTGGTTGCGTTTCCTCACGATACAGGAGACAACGAATTTGGCTGGGTGCAAAGTAGGTAGCAGTCTTTCTTGAAAATCTTACCGACCTGCATAAACTGCACCAAATCTGCGTAAGGGTGAGTGTCTAACGGACATTTCTTTCAATGTGTCCCAGGGAAACTGGCAGGGCTCAACGCCTTCCGAGGGGCAATTAAGTAGTTTGCGTTTAAGAAAATGAAATAGGTCCATACTAGTCCTCCACCAGAAAACCGTCCACAAGCAAATTTTTTGTGCTGAAGTAGCTTAAAGAAAGGCGATGATCTGAATCTACAGCAGGAGGATAAATCGAAGTGGCGCTACTGAAAGACTACATCGAGTAGCCTTGTTTAAGTAGTTATGAAGAATTAAGCAAAATTTGAGTGCAAGCAGATGACAAATTTGACAAAATAAATTCTACACATATCGCAGTTAGCTCATTTTACGCTAGACAGGAAAGCCAACTCGTCGATATTTGGCACATACTTCACACGACATAGGAAAGCGGGGAGCAAGAATTAGCAATTGTGCTGTTAAATAATAACTAACACTGAAAGAGGCAAAATATTCCTGTAAAGTGCTTCAATACTGAAAAAGCAGTATTAGTAGCCTAATACTGTAAAATAAATTAGACTTACATTGCCTGGTTGACCGCCTTCTAGTTCCAGCTCCTCTGGAAGCGTCTAGACAAAAAACAATCGACTAAATAGCACCAGATCGTCAAAAGTTTTGGGTCACATGAAAATGTACTTTTGGCAGTCACCGGATGTTCTAAGCCGATTTCGACCTTTCGTGTTAGTTGCTTAACAAATGCGAACATAATGAACTGGAACGAGCGCGTGCCTGACACGCGCGATGGCGATTGGCAGCAGCCCCAACAGACAACAAATCGGTACGCTCAGTTTTGACCGCATGGTCGATGTTTAGAGAATGCAACGTTAAGCCACCGAGCATAAACGGAATACACTGATTCTAAGACTTTTAAATACCAGTAATTGTGCTCCATGAAAAAATAATGCCTACCCTATTGGTGAGTCAGTGACATGTCTACTCAAACGTGGCATTGAAAAACCACAATGTGAGAATGGTGTTTCGTAGACGACTGCACGCAGCAACTCCATGAACTAACGCCTTACCGGTGCTTTTTGTTGAACGCCTTTTGCTGCTCGCCAGTGGCCGATTCGAGGGGTTAAAACGTTTTGCTGGGGCTAAAAAACGCATAGTACAAACGTCAGAGAGGGGAGAAGCATCGTTGGGCGGCTTCGTTTTTCTCAACCAAATGTGCGTTGAAAACACGAGTTTTAATTCTAGAATGTGGCTCTTTGGTGCTCGGCAAACGCAAAAACTCGTTATTTTGACGCAGGACCTGTCGCAGGCAGCACGACTCTGAAAGCACGGCGGTCGCTATCCGAATAAACCGAAGCAGGAAAAGCATTTAGAAAGGAAGCATGCCCTTGCTAGGACTTTTAACGAAAAATGGACCAGAAATTAATAGTAGTATCAATCACAGTAGACTACAACATGACAGCACATGACAGATTGATTTGCGAGGTGGGTGTGCAACAACGAGGTTTAAAGAGTTCGGAAATGTATGGCAACAGGGTCACAGAATAAAACCGTACGAAGTTGCATACCAAAAAACATTCATAACCACGGCTCAGCTTCGAGCATGCATACTTTCTACGGTTACGCGTTCAACCATTATCCCGAGTTTCACCCAAAATAACACGATTAGCAGAGTCTTGATATTTTGGAACAGGTCTCCACTCGGGCCATTGTCGATAGTTCTACGGGTAACTTTAGCAACGTTTCTCCTGAATTACGGTTTATGCTAGATATCCACTGTAACAAGAACATGGAAGCAGTAAAGAGAAATTGAAATCCACATAACAACGTGATAAACAGAGGTCGATCATGAGATTAAAAAGAGCCGAACGGCCAGACCGATAGCGGTTAATTTCGAGCAGCAAAAGTAACGCGCTTGTAATGCGTTAAGGGTGGTCAAACACGCGACAAAATTGGGGCAAAATCGTACTTTTGCGGGTCAGTCGGCGTCGGGAGACGACAGCCTTGGTTGGGGGCTCCTGCGGTACGGAGGAATCGGCGACCGGAGCTGGAAAAAAACAAGATGCAAGTGCTGTACACTCAGATAATGCGGTGGAAAGAGAAGTGACGGGTGACGGCTGAGAAATGTTTTGACAACGGACGAGATTGAAACACACAAGACAGGCTTGGGGACTATGGGATCAAGCATAAACCTCCTCCGACAGCTCTATGGGAATAAGAGAATACGGAGGGAGCTTTTACTTACTCATAACAGACAAACTTGCTAAGTAAAGGGCACAGTGGTTTCGGCAACCCATAATTAGTATTGCCGATATACTATCTCTATCCCTGAAACAATAGTAGTGGTTAGCTGGAAAAAAAAGATTAGCATTTACCTACATAATGTAAAAAAAGCCCGGCAAGATGTTTTTGTTTGAAGATTAAATATAAAACCCGAAACATACTCGAAACGCTGTCAGTGTCGTCGACAATTTCGACGTCTAAAGTGCCGTCCGTTTGGCAAGAGGAATTGTTGGGCTCAGTATTAACGGGTGAAGCGTTGCCTTGTGAACGAGAAGTGGGTGCCTCAGAGTTGCTTCTATCTAAGAACAGAGACGCCTAATCGTCACAAGTGTCCAGAAGGATGATGAAAATGGATCTCACCAGGTAGGGCGACTTAAAGCGAATTGGGACAAAATGACGGGCAAATCAAATGTGAATCTACCAGTGGATCTACATGGTGTGAACATTTGAACCACAGGGACCTTTGGCATTAAGTATAGTTTTGATAGCGTCGCTATTCGCATAACACGTACAACCTTGAAGCTGAGATCACGACCACATCTCCGTTAAAGCAGAGCCTTGGATCCGATCTTGGTAAGCACGTACAACTGATAACGAACATCATCAATGCCTGATGCACCTGCATCTTTGGGGGAAAGTGACCACGCATGGAAGGCACGACAGCTTCTGTAGCCTAGACTCGGAAATTAAAATCTAGCACCAATGATATGCGCCGCAATGAGAGCTATTCTTCCCAAAACATTCAAGCATGCCGCCTAATACCTGGCTCAACGGGTTCAGGATCCCCTGACGTGTTTTCACCCCCACCATGAACTTCGTCTGCGGCGTTCGACTGAGTCTCGGTGACAGGCGATTGTGGTGCTGGCAATGCCCTCGACTGATTGCCGCTTTCGTCATTCACGAAGGTAGCAGTGATTGAAGAGGAATCAGCAGACTTCTCCTTATGTGGACTCGTCCTGCGTCGGTGTCTATCACTTCCGTCAGTATCATTCAACGAGTCGCTTGAGTCGGACTCACCCTGAGAATCTGACTGGTCCATTTCTACGGGAAAAATGTGCAAAATGCTCATATGGGGTGGGGAGGGGAGCCAAACTACCAAATTTAACATCAATACAGCACGCAATTAAAGTCACGAATTTGGTACTACAGTGATTAAGTGTATAATTCTCGTGTAAATTAGGCTGTAACAAGAAGTTTTATCGGAAGGTGAAAAAACACGGCAGAAAAATATCTAGTTTCCAAAAATTTCAGAATAGGGTGCGTTTGTGGTTTTCCTGCATGGGTTTACTTAACACTAGGGCAGTTTAAAACACATGTTTCCAACGTGACGTCCTTACAGGAAACTCTTGCTGATTTAGAACTTCATTATGTCCCCAAGGACGTTGGTGTTATTTACC